AGACAAACGGTGTCTCGGTGTCAGAAGTAATTCCTGCCTAAATCATGACAGATTTTGGAAATCGGCTCCTTGTGTGCGCACGACGTCGAGCAGGAATGCCTGCTAGCCGGATCCAACAATTGCCTGTCCTTTTGAGAATTGTGCGCCAATTCCAGTGTGATGATCTTCTCGCGTCACGTTGACGTCACTTACTTGCGGCCCACGGTGATGTCAGTTGAGAAGAGACTTGAAGCCTGTATCACTGCCGAGGGAGGCCATTTCGAGCACCTTCTTCAGTGATGCATGGATATGTTTTACTGTATATAAAAATAAACTTCTGAATATGTAATAGTTTCTCTTTGCAAAAATATGGTCAATAAACCATGCGCCAAAATCTAGTAGCCACCCTGTATACAGGATGGTCAAGAATTATATAGTGACTCACAGGGTCACCTTGAAGCATTCGTCGTAGTAACGTTTTTCCCGCACATTCATATGAATCTATATTATTCATACATATTGTAGATGCGCCGAAATGGCACGAATATTGTTATGGTGCCCACTGGAAAACCCGCGAATAGAACGAATGTGGAAGATATTGCGGAGGATCCCAGCAATGTACTAGACACTAAGCACGGGAAGGACATTATGGTAAGGCGTGCTAATTATACACTAATAACTCTAAACTTCAACTGCCGTTATTCAGGCAAAACCGAATTCCGACGAGGCCAGGGAAATGGAAGATCGTTTGCTTGATGCGCTAACAAATCCAGTGGAACTCAAGCACACTACAGCTTCTCACGAAGAGACTGCAGAAACCGAAAGCAGTGAACCTCCACAGGACGAAAGGGTCACCGGTTTCGAGAGAACGTGGAGAGTGACCGCGATGTTGTAACTCCACCAATGGGAACAGGTGGTCCATCCGTACATATCACGTCAACCAAAAACCCGGAGGAGCCCGAAAGCAGTGAACCTTCACAGGACGAAAGGGTCACCGGTTTCGAGAGAACGGTGGAGAGTGACCGCGATGTTGTAACTCCACCAATAGGAACAGGCAGGTGGTCCATCCGTACATATCACGTCAACCAAAAACCCGGAGGAGCCCGAAAGCAGTGAACCTTCACAGGACGAAAGAGTCACCGGTTTCGAGAGAACGGTGGAGAGTGACCGCGATGTTGTAACTCCACCAATAGGAACAGGTGGTCCATCCGTACATATCACGTCAACCAAAAACCCGGAGGAGCCCGAAAGCAGTGAACCTTCACAGGACGAAAGAGTCACCGGTTTCGAGAGAACGGTGGAGAGTGACCGCGATGTTGTAACTCCACCAATAGGAACAGGTGGTCCATCCGTACATATCACGTCAACCAAAAACCCGGAGGAGCCCGAAAGCAGTGAACCTTCACAGGACGAAAGAGTCACCGGTTTCGAGAGAACGGTGGAGAGTGACCGCGATGTTGTAACTCCACCAATAGGAACAGGTGGTCCATCCGTACATATCACGTCAACCAAAAACCCGGAGGAGCCCGAAAGCAGTGAACCTTCCCAGGACGAAAGAGTCACCGGTTTCGAGAGAACGGTGGATAGTGACCGCGATGTTGTAACTCCACCAATAGGAACAGGTGGTCCATCCGTACATATCACGTCAACCAAAAACCCGGAGGAGCCCGAAAGCAGTGAACCTTCACAGGACGAAAGAGTCACCGGTTTCGAGAGAACGGTGGAGAGTGACCGCGATGTTGTAACTCCACCAATAGGAACAGGTGGTCCATCCGTACATATCACGTCAACCAAAAACCCGGAGGAGCCCGAAAGCAGTGAACCTTCACAGGACGAAAGAGTCACCGGTTTCGAGAGAACGGTGGAGAGTGACCGCGATGTTGTAACTCCACCAATAGGAACAGGTGGTCCATCCGTACATATCACGTCAACCAAAAACCCGGAGGAGCCCGAAAGCAGTGAACCTTCACAGGACGAAAGAGTCACCGGTTTCGAGAGAAACGGTGGAGAGGAGCCCGAAAGCGAATCAGAATGAGAACAAACACGGAACCACAGAAGGAATAGAAACAACAGACGTTAGCATAAAATGGAGTTATGTGACGCCATGGTCAGAGCTTGTAAGTTCAAGTTCAAATTGTTCAAATTATGGAATCCTTGCTGGGGAAACAAGAGTGACGAGGGTACCCCTGTAATTTTATTTAATAAAGATAAATTGGACATGTAGGTGTCTTTAAAAGAAGCGATTACGATAAGGAATTTTCGCATCAGGAGAGAACCTGCGCCACGCGAAGCAATCACCTGGCTGCCAAGGAAAGCGATGTGTGGTCCTTCCCACGGCGAAAGGTGCTGTGGTTGCTGAGCAGGACCCGCGTGACGCCCCGCCCCCAGTGACGTGACGCCCACTAGTTTTGTTGATGATCTGGATGGACTGTTTGCTGTTGGCTTTTCATTTTGGATGATCATTTCCCTTCTAGCGGCTGTATCTTCCAACTTGCCCACGTATTGCGTTATCAATCAGTACACTATGCTTGTTGGCAAGATGGCGGCTATCGGGGTTAACACGTCTGAACAACGTCGTTCTTCACCGTCGCTCATCGGTGGTCGAAAATGAAAGGGCAATCAAAGAGGTGTTATTCTGCTTATTTTTGACGGATTTCTTTGCTTTTTTCGCCATTGGTGTATTACTGAGACCCTCACGTCCACTCCAAACCCCTGTGAAATCTATCGTAATCGCTTCCTTAAATCGCAGCATTGGTTTTATGAAGCGTATTACTTTCCTCGCTCTCGCTATTGCTGCGCCGTTTGAACAGAAATCACGTGGGCAGCTGTTTGAATAAAGTTCGAATACAGGACTGCATGGAGTCAGATAAGCAAAATTCCCTTAAAACCAGTGATTGCGATAAAGTGTATGTGCAGCGTGGAAGCACATGCAACAGTGTGAGTAACAGCCCGGAGCCGAAGGAATCGAGGTGTTGCCCTTTCGTGGTTAAAGGTGCGCTAATTCTAGCGCCCTGGGGTTGCCAGTCCTTTCTGAGCTCCGCCACCGCCTGTGCTCCGCCGCTCAGTAATCGTTCGTTGATCGATTAGCATTTTGATGAGGTATTGCACTTCGAGCGCGTATCTTATAACTTTCCCATGGAACGTGTTATCAACCAAAGCATGGTCTATGCTGGCATGATGGTTGCTATCGGTTTATCATGTGCAAACGAACCCTAGTTGGTTGTTAGCTCGTCCATTATCGAAGGTCAACGGGCAGAGAAAGCGTCCCATTGTGCGCCTTCCCAAAGGATTTCTTTGCTTTTGTTCGCCACTGGAGCATTACTCAGCATCCTTTGCTTACATATGAATTCAGTTCAATCTTATCGTAATCCCTCGCTTCAAGTTGAGTCTTGATAAAGTGGGAATGTGCCAAGCCAGAACGATGCAGCGTATTCGAGCCTTGCTCCGAGATTTTGCCATCCTTGCCCTAGTGACATATCGAGCACTGCCTCTGCAACATAGTTTGCTGGCTTTAAGATGAAGTTTACGGAGAAGGACAGTTATAGTCCACAGCTGGATCGTCACAGAGAAGGAGTGGTGAAGAGTTGTAGCTGCTGTTAACTGCAGAACTCTGACAGTAGGGGCTATCCCCTTTAAGTAGAGCCAGTTCTGCGTGCTGATCGCGGTGGGAGACTCTGACAGATATCCACTGGTACACGTTCAACTGTCCGTTCGCACATTCTAAACGAGGGCGGAGTGTGATTTGGGAAGGGCTGGTGCTCAGGACTGAGTGAGGTTAACTAAGCCTGAAAATGTGCTGCGAGGGTAGAAGAGGTGTTTGTTTTTTGATGGGTCTTTCAATCCTTTTGATGAAAGGTTCACGAAAGAGCGTGGCCTAGACAAAGCTGTTGGATGCTTCACTATAACAGTCTATTTTCCACCCCATCTCCCTCCGGCCGTTTTGGGGAAAATTGAGTGGAGTTCGATTGCATCGCCTGATGACAGCATTGAATACCATAGAAAGAGTCATATGACGATGGGGGCGGATGGGGTAGGGGAAGGAGGGGGTTAGTATCGGGTGAGTCTCCTACAACTGATGGCGCACGAACTGCTACGAATTTAGGGGGGCAAATTTTTGGGAATGTGCGCAGATTACGGTTGACCTTTTGGCACTCCCTTCTATGAATAGACTACCTAACCTCCATTTCAAGTAACAATCTTCTTTAGAGCATTCCCATCTTAACACGGCAAAGCGGAAATCGCTCCTCACTAGGTTGACCTTCCTTGATTCACTGAAATGTTAAGATCCCTCCCCGGAGTTTGGATTCATCGGAAATCAAGACCATTTCTGATTGTCGCAGAATGCAACAAAAGTTACAGATGTCACAATTTCCCGTATTGAATTTCATTATGATTAGCATCTACTCCCGCAATTAGCTCAGCCTCCCTAGGTGTATCAGTGCGAGCCCTATCTTTGGACACAGAGCGGCTGATCTGTTGGTACGATTTTATGATCGCGGCAGTAAATTTGGGGTAGGGAGACATGTTGCAACTTGCTTCGTTCCCCTACGACCTAATGCAGTTGATAGGATGTCTGGGATACTGAAGAAAGGGAACTAAAGGTGCTCAGCATATTGTTCTTCAGGGGTGGGGTGCTTTTGCTCCCCCCCCTTGGTTTTCAGTTTTCTGGCTTGAATTTAATTCTCATAAATCAAACCCAACCATCGGTTTCCGGTCTCAGCAAAAACCTGTGTCTGAAAACATTGTACGGTGCTGCTTCGTTTTGATCAATATAGGAATGGAATTTCTGCGAACTTATGGGCCACTTCAAAGCTTCATATCATCCTGAAATTTCTTTGGAATTTCTCCCTTCTATAGCATAATTCAGCTAGTATGCATATAATAGAAATAAGAGGATGGTATCCTTCTACTTCTTCCACTTTTTAGCGTTAGTCCTGCGCAGTCGCAAGGTACGTTGATATCCTATCCTTATACACTGCGTATGAATGATTGACCACTTATAACTGGTCCCTAATCAGAGACGGCTGCACCATGAAAACCCTGACTGGAAAGAGCTGTATTCTAGCTTTGACCATCGGTCCTGCTGCTTTTAATACACTGGTGTACAAAACTAGAGAGTAACTTCCCATAATATCCTGAGGAACCGGCTTGGTGAGGTTGGGGCATACATAGAAGGAGAGTGTTAGAGTACATAACAGGGAAGTATTGCATGCTCTGCTACGAGCTCCCACACTGACCACAAAGCTGACCGAGTTCCTGTGGAGGCGCGTTCCATGATAAGATCACGATCGACAGTTGCTGGACAACTATTGGTGCAGGTGCATGTGTACAATAGCTTTTCCAAATAAAGCCCACGCGTGCGCAATAGGATTTGTGTAAGGCAAGCGGGCTGACCTAACCAATCGCCAAATATCCTCTCGTTCCAAGAGTTCTCCACTACGGCTTTTTGATGCCCTCGCACATTGTCCTCTATACGAATGAATTGAGGTCGAATGCACAAAACGTTGCGATCACCTCCTGTTTTGTTTGGTCATGGTCCACCACCTTCTCTTATTTGGGAAACAGTGGTTGTGGTTCATGTCGCTCCCCATGCATGTGAGGCTTTTCTGTAAGCAATTTTAAGTTCCTGGGCTACATTCTTATTACATCTTGCTTTTTCCGATTTCCTAATGATTTATCCTCATTGAAATCAGCCTAGTGTTATCTCTAAGACTTGCTGCTGTGAAGAACACTACCACAACCCGTTGCGTGGCCAGTCCCATTCGACTCAAGATTGAAGCCAACGTACACGATATATAAGCCATGTATACTGTATTGAACAATTAGAGGACCTTTGGCATCATGCTGGCGGAGTTCCATCCAACTCCGTGGAGTTGTAGTGAGCTATGTTACTTTACCCACCTTGTTATGTTTAGTTTTGCACACCAGTACGGAATTTGTAGAAGGGTATATTTAGGCGAAATTGGGGAGTCCAACGTGCTCGAGTAACCCTCAAAGTTCTTTTTAGGCGCATTGGATATGTGACCAATTCTACTGGGTTCCCGAATTTCGCGAAGATCGAGTACTGCACGCTCGCAAGTTTATGTTTGGAAAAAATGCGATCCATTCGCTTCTACTTCAGATTGGTATCAACCTTCTTCGGCTCAAGCTTCGGTGCAGTCGCTTTTTCGAAGCATGCAACTTGAATGTGTTTTCGAAACAAATCGCCCGAGCACCATTTTTGATCACAAAAAGGAATATAAGGGGAAATGAGCGGAAAAACAATGACGTGAACAGCTGTTTTTGTTAGAATTCGAGAGCTACAAGGCACTCTTTGCTTGGAGACCGCGCGGTGATACTTTTA